CTCCCGTCCTCGGACACTTCACGACACGACATGGGATGACTCTAATAGCATGATCTCGGCACGTCGAACTTCAACAAGCGCAGATTTCTAGCGTTCAAATAACACTCGAGTTCGTTTCCATCACCAGTGCAGCTCCAATTTGCGAAATGTTTCAAACAATGTTTGCAGCCTGCACTCCCGCTATGTTTCGGATCCGAAGACGTGCGTTTGGATGGGAAAAGGCATTAAGAACGCGCAGGCCTGGAACAGACTACACTGGATCACAGAGTCTATGGTCGCGCCAGAGCAAATGCTCAGCTGCAACACCACGAAGGAGGACTGCTCACTGGATATCACAACGTCTTTGATACCCGCTTTCACCAGCCGCAAAACATCGAGGGGGGAGGAAGGTGCTTGCCTTTGAGGGATTTCCAGCCTCCTTGGTGCCCGCCTTTTGGGATGCTGTCGCCTCTGGTGACTGCCACAAATGCAAAAAGAGAAGCCATCGAGAAGGACCTCCCACTGGCTCTCGCCCTTTTCCCTCCCATGAAACCAAGGTATGACATCGTCGAGCCACCTCAACCCCTCGCCTTCTGGCCTCAGAGTTTTCCCTCTGCCCTACCTCTGCCTTTCCCTCTTCCCTCCTGCTGCCTCAATCTCCCCCAGCAGACCTCGCCAAGATTTTGACAACTCTCCCTTTTGGCTTCTTGGCCTCCCAAGACACTCTTTTTCCGTTCGCTCGATACCTTCATTGCATTATCTCATCTCCTTGGGCCGTTGAGCAATTATCTTTGGATTGGTTTTCGGTATTTTGCTACCCATCCGATTATCACCACCTCACGTTCGCTTGGAGATCAGCGCAAGTAAGGCAAAAAGACAACAACGACAGCTTCGAGCCGCGATGAAGAAGCTCGCCTGTTGCGGCTTCGTGCCGTATCGATGGAACGCAAAGAAGGCCGAGTCGGACACTCCCAAGACCGATACTGTGCCGAGCTCGCGTCCTGTTTCTGCGTCTAATGTGTCGCTCGCGGTGCCCCCCGGTCCCCATCACTACCCCCCGGCCGCCCCGATGAACAGAGCTAACACGGGTTCATTTTCATCGCGCGGAAATGCCCGAACTCCCGACTCTTTTTTCGATGGGGATATCAACCTTGCGGAATACGCTGACGATGCGGAGGATGACGACAACGGACCCAACCCGCGCGATGGACCCATCGTCAGATTGGTTCGACGTTTGTCCACAGACAACAAGAACGTCACTGGCTCGAACCCCCCGGCCAACCAAAACCCTGAGGCTCTTAAGGAACTTAAGAGAAGGAAGGCGGCGGAGGATTATCGGGCATCAGTGAGGCTCCAAAACCATGCGCGGATTCAGGCCGAAATTAGGAGCGAGAACAGCGGTTCTCGGTCTGTGTCTACGCGTGGAAGTAAGAGAGTCCGCGAGTTGGCAACAGTTATGGAAGATGCCAACGGCCAGGGCGCCAACGATCGGACAAGCAGCATTACCAGTCACCACAGCCAGCAATGGCGAAAGGGACTCGAGTTCTATGTTGCTACTAGCGAAGGAGTTAGAGGCGTCGGATATCAGCCACCTAGAACTCCCCACCACCCGATCACGAGGCCCCCTGCTGCGAGACTTAGGAACGACCACACCGGCAACATCAGAGGTGACCGCCGTCGAGGCAGCTTCCCGAGACCCGACCTCGGTAGGGCCTCCGCGTCTCAGATCGTGCTGCGCGAGCGCGGTTCACTGCCTGCTATGCCCCCTCCTCCGGTCTTGACTGCCAGACAGACCCCTGACGGCCAGGATGACGCTTCTTTCAGAAGCTGGAACCTTTCCCAGAACACCGTTCAGGGTGACAGCCAGGCCACAATTTCCAACCGCACTGGAGATGTCTCTACCGGAACCACACAAAACACCTCCATTTCCGACATCCAAGGCACTTCGCAGTCGAAGACTCGTCGCGGTGAGCCCAGCCAAGGAAACAAGCAGGCAGCATGCACCCCTGACAGCCTGACCGCTTCCAACTACTCTCGCGCTTCAGAGTCTTCGCAATCTCAAGAAGGCGAGGCTTTGAATGTCTGGCTGCTTACTCAGGACTCCCAAGAAACCTCAGCTCCCACTAACGAACAGCCTGCGAAAGGCGAGCCTGTGTCTCGCGAGACTGTTTGCAACAGCAACTTGCCCAACACTGACAAGGAGAACACCCACTCCCCGATTTCCGCTGGCCTTCCTGCCTCTGGGACTTCTGGCGAACTGACAATCAAGGCTTTCCCAAGAGATGAAAGCTCCTCTACCGATCTCGAGAGTGCATTGGCCATGAATTTGGAAATGGAAGACGAGATGGATCGGAGCATTCGCACATCAGACGAAATGAGTGTTCGCATTCGAGAACCCGACCAGGAGCAAGCCTCCAAGCAGACTGCTCAGAACAACGAACATGAGCCGGAGGACAAGGCGCTTCCCGCCCAGGAGGATCCGAACCACCACGACAGCAACGAGGAGAAGGGCAAGATCATCGTCGCTACCAACTTGGCTTCCATTCCTCAGTATCAGTCTTCTTCTGTTTACTCTTCGACACAGAACACTCGTCATGCTTCCCCCGTTGGCTCCAAGCAACCCAGCAGCGACGAAGATGCGAGATACAGTCTGGAAAGTTTCAAGGGGCTTGAGTTGTCCCCATTCAGCGGTAGGAACTTTGCATGATGGTCCATGAAACGCAGTCAGCTAACAAAAAGAACAGTGCCTAAAGACGTCCGCCAGGAGGGCTCTGACGATACCTACCGCACGGCCGCAAGCAAGCGTTCTGGATCAGACCCAGTGACCCCCCCCATTGCAGTCAAGCAAATTGTTTCGGACAGCGTTGAGAAGTCCCAGAACAAGCTTGCTCCCGCAACCTCTACGCCTACTGCCTCCAACACCCACAGTCGGAAGTCGTCATTCCTCAACCTCTTGCTTCATCGCGCTGAGTCAAGCTCTATTGGCCATAGAAAGTCGAAGAGCCAGCCGTCCGCGAAGCTCACTCCCCTGAACAATCCGTGTGAGGCGCTGGATATTCCCAAGCGGCTCAGCCATGCCAAGAAGCTCTCCAACTTGAGCATCAGATCCCATATGCAACCGATCTCAGCCGCTGATGATTTCGTTGCACCCCAGCTGAAGGAGAGTGCTACTGTTGTCTGGAAACGTGCCTTCGAGCTTGAGCACAATCTGCGCGACAAATCTGTCGGACCGGCTCACTCAGAAACCACAGTTGTCAGTCCAGTCCCTGATGATGATGCGGATAAAGACATTGCAGTCAAGGACAACGGAGATATCAACGGAGGCAACGACGCAGTCACTGCAGGTACCCAGTAGAACTCGGGCCCGGCAAAGCGCGCAACACCTCCTGCCTCGTGGGCTAGATTCGCATCTCACACTCGTGAGGAGCGCAACGCCGCTGCTGGCTCTACCGACCTTGTCAAGCAGAAAGACTTCGCTCTCGCCAGCACAACCGATCAGCAAAGCTGGGTTACAGACAGGAAGATGGGTGCCAATGGCGACAAGGACGAGGAAGCAGCTCACTCGCTCTCAAAGAAATTTGGCAAGGCGATGAAGACCGGCCTGACCAAGATGGTGCAGTCCAAGCCGAAGGGCAAGTCTGCTGAGCTGGAGTATCCCGAACTCGAGATTCTGCCGACCAAGGGTGGATACAAGGACGTCGAGGCCATCCAGCGAAGCGTCGCGACGCTGAGTCCCAGGCTACGGGCCAAGATGGCCACTCATCCGGCCCAAGCGCTCGCTGATATGGAGAACGAATCGAGACAATACGGAGGAGCCCACCACACTAGCGACGGCTCTGCTGACAACGCTGCTCTTAGAAACGACAAGAGCAAGGATGTTGGCACATCCGCCAAAGTTGCCTTGTCTATTCGCCCGGTCACGCCGGCCAGCCTGGCCATTGCCCCCAACGGTGATTTGACGACCCCGACCACAACGGAGCACTGGGCTACTCCAGCTAGCCGGTTGTCTTTTAGCTCTACCTCCCACACTGAGGAGGGATACATTTCGGCGGTGGACGACATCGAGTCCATTAGCAAATTGTAATGAGACCTGAGGGCCACTCAATATTGGTTGTCTTGTTTCTTGAGGGCGGGAAAGGAGATCGCAAGACGAGATTGAAATTCAGCTGCAAGATGAAAATTGGGCAAGTCTTGCTTTGCAATACGGCAATTGGATGAGCCTGCTGACATAACATGTCAGGAACTCGAACAGCGAAGCTGAGGTTCAACACTTTGGTTTCTTCATGTTTGGCCGGACTGAGATTTGGCAAAAGAATTGGTACCAGTCGCTACCAAACGACAGTGTGTTTCTGGTCAGTCCTGTCAGCTCGAGGCGATTTGTATTATGCTAATTCATTCAGGTTGACGACAGTTTCAACCCTCGCACCAACGATAATGCCCACCGAGGGCTCTTAATGTCATGAGTAAAAGGAGTGATTTTGTGGCTTGGAGGTCTCGTACGCGAGCAATCAACAGGGCATGAGTCACGGTTTTTGTACGGTATAGATTGGGGTCGAAGGATGGAATTTGGAATTTCCCCACGTGTATAGTTTCATAGACAACGAATTCTAGTGGTAGCTCAAACTGGGCCCGGCAAGGCTCTCGCCTTTCTGCCGTTCTCTTTCCAGTGACATGCTGAGGTTCCACGAGACGTCCTCAAGATGGCCGATAAAGCAGGTGAAGCAAGAGTAAGCTAGCGGACACGTAGTGCGGATAGAAATACCAAAGCGGTATTGGGCGGCTCACGATGACGCCAAATCTGCCGGATCAGACGATGCGGCTCCCATTTCTGAGTCTGTGTAGTCGTGAATCATTAAATAAAAGTCTTGCCGAGCACACCCAGAAGTGCCCAAAACCTGCATAAGATGACCGTCCATGGTTTCCCATACACCAACGTAACACCCGTACTCCGCATACATATACAGCCGCCCAAAAGCCCACTCGAAATGAAATACAAGAGCTTTAATAAGGATTCTTGTACCTTAACCAAACAAGACGTTCTCGTAAGCCTGCTGATCAAGGTGCCTGAACAGCACGTCCTGGAGCGCAGCCCTGCTCTTCCCGATCTGCGGCACGACGCCCTCGATCTGCTGGAGGTTGTTGCGCATGCTCTCCATGTGATTGCCCACTTGACTGGCCAACCCTTGGAGCTCCTCGTCCTCGAGATCCTGAAGAAAAAGTAAGCATTTGTAGTTATATGAAAGAGGCATTCGCTATGCGAGGTGGAAGGCTGCCTGCTTACCCTGAAAAGACCATCGCCCACGTTTTCGTTGGGGACGAACTTAAAGTCTTCATCCCCCACGGCCCAGTCTTTGGCGCCCTTGTTCTGCTCTGGAACAAGAACGTGCGTCTTGCGTAGGTTGTCCTTGAAGTTCCTCGCCTCGGACTTGGCGTTGGCCTCCAGGGTGCTGAGAGTCTTGTAGTCCTCCTCGAGAGCGCGCTCCTCGCGCTCCTTCTCGGTCTCGAGCAGCCGCACGGCGTGAAGCAGCGGGTCGAGCTGTCTCTCGAGCGACCGCACGCTGTCGACGACGCGCTCAAAGTCGAGCTCCTCCGCGCGGCCGGCGTCGTCGTTCTGGCTCTTCCTGCCCGCGCGGGGCGGCGCCGAGGCCGGCGGGAAGGGGAGGCCGCGGGAGAGTTTCTTGTTGAGGCGGTTCGTAACGAGGCGGAGGGCGGAGGAGGCCTGGTCGCGGCGTTTCTCGTTGGAGGCAAGGCGCTGGAGGACGGGGCGTTCTGCGAGTCGCAGCATGCTGGAGATGAGGGATAGGGAAGGGGGGAGGAGGGGAGACCATTTTTCCTCGATTGTCGAGCGGGGGATCTGGCGGACGCGTTCGGTGATGTGACGGTATTTCGCAGGCGGACGGCGGGGTTTGGGGGTTGGGGCTGCGTCTTTCTGTTTTTGTTGTTGCTGTTGCTGTTCTTGTTGCTCGTCGGATGTGCGGCGGCGACGTTTCTTTGGTTGCTCAGGGGCTTCTTCAGAGGGTTCTGCGGGGCGCTTCTTGGATCTGCGAGGTTTTGCAGGTTGGTCTTCTTGATCCACTGATGCATCGGAGGTGCGCGGACGATCTCTGCGGCGGCGTGCTGTGTCTGGCGAGGGTTCCTCAGGTTGTTCCTCTTGGGAGGGCTTGTTACGCCGCTTCTTAGTCGGCTTCTCTGTATGCTGCTCCTCAGCCGGAGTCGGTTGCTTAAATTTGCGCCTGCGGCCGTCCTTTGGTTCGGGTTGTGAGGCTTCTTGAGAATCCTCCTGAGATTGAAGAGAGCGACGGCCACGCTTCTTCTTCGCAGGTGCTTCCTTCTCGGGTGCTTCTCTTTCTGGCGAGGGCTGTTCCTTGTCACCCGCAGCTGGACGTCCGCGCTTCTTCTTCGGGACTGCTTCAGGTGATGCTTCCTCCTCAGGGGCGTTCTCTTCAGCTTCAGCTGCCCTTTCTTTGGGCTTTCTTCCACGCTTCTTAGGGGCTGCCTCCTCCTCTGCAGCATCCGGCTCTTCTGCAGCTTCAACGGCCTGCTTATTCAGTGACGGACGACCACGTTTCCGCTTGGTAGCTGGTTCCGGCGCCGGCTCTTCCTCTTGCTGCTCTTCGGCGACCTTGACTGGCCGTCCGCGCCTCTTCGTTCCCGCATTTCCTGCGTCCGCTTGTTCGACCTCGACTTCCTCTTGAGACTCCTTTGCGGCTCGTCGGCCGGCCTTACCCTTGCCTGGCTTCTCTGCAGGAGCTGGCTCTTGGTCCCCAGGCTCGTTATCTTCTCCCCTCACAGCGGTTCTCTTCTTTCTCTTCGCTTGAGACGGCTCTGAAGGCTCGGGACTCTCAGCCGTAGCTTCGTTGACCTCTTCGCGCCGAGGCCTGCCCCGCTTCTTGGGCTTGGAGGCGTCTGTAGGTGATGGCTCTGGCTCGGGTTCAGGTTCGAGCTCTGGCTCTGCTTCCTTTCTTTTGCTTGGTCTCCCTCGTCGTGCTGGTTTTGGGGTATCGTCGGCACCCTCGGCCTGGGTGGTGGGCTCAGCATCCGCAGCGCTTGGGGATGCTGCCGACGCGTCGTCGACCTTGGACGCGTTGGAAGGACGACCGCGTTTCTTCTTTTGGTCTGCGGGTTTTGGAGGCTTCGGGGGTGTCAGAAATATGTCAGAACATCATGCTCAGGGGCACATACCATTGTGATGGGATGCGCTCCTATCCGGGTTGCGCAATGGTGGTTGCTCTAAAAATCACCAAGTCGGTCCGGAGCTTCAGACGCGTTCCCCTCCACCTTAGACAATGGAACTGCACCAGGTACGTATCTGATGCAGCTTCCAGCCACGACTTGATGGGCAGATGTGGCTGTGTGACACGGAATGTGGCTGCTTCCCCGGACCGTTGTCCCAGCTGGCGGTGGACGCTACGCCTCTTTGGGTTAGGGGCTACGGAGGCAGCAAACGGGCATGGTTCCATTTTCCATTGGCGTTCCAGCGACTGGCCCAGTGGTTCTGCAGCTGCTGGTCTCCCGGCCAGTGGGTTTCACAGTGTTCTGGTCCCCCCAGGCGCCCCAAGCTCCTTGCACCGTGATTTCGTCAGGTAGCCGGATCACCAAAGGCAAGCACACCACAGCGGAAGTGGGCAAGGTTCAGGAGGTGCCAAAGGGTCATTTCAGCATTTGCACCTCTGCGCCCCTTCCACTTTTTTTTCGTCCCGACTCTGTGTCCTCTTTGTCTCCAACCGGATCCCATTACAGATAATACTTCTCCTCTCCTTCCCTAAACCCCCATCCCGTTCATCGTCCCTCCCTTGGCCTCCGGCAGCGTGTGTAATCGGCGTCATCTCCGTTTGCCCTGTTTCTTGCACACCCGTTAGTTCGCGTCGTTTCCCCTCACGCCAACTTCCGCATACCCAGCATCCCGTCGCTTGGACGCTCAACCGCGACACCTGTCTCAAACAGCTCACAACTCCTTTCAACCACACCACAACCGACAACATGCGCGTGTCTGCCACTACAATCCTCGCCCTGCCGCTCCTCGCGGCCGCGGCTGAGTCGCCATTTGAGCAGTACAAGGCCCAGTTCCAGAACTTCCTCAGCTCCTTCGGTGCCTCTGCGCCCAGCGCGACCAAGCAGGACACACCCGAGGCTGCGGCTCCCGACGCCGTCGCAAAGTCCGTCTCAGTTCTGACTGTTGACAACTGGAAGGATGTCCTCTACGCGCCCGTCAAGGCCGAGGCCACAACACCTGAGGAGTGGTGGGTTCTGATCACTGGTCGCAACAAGACCTGCTTCGGTACGTCGCTTTCGCATCTTGCCTCCAGGCTACATTGGGTGCTAACTCTATTCTAGGTCACTGCGATAAGATCGAGACTGCCTTCAACGAGTCCGCGTCCAAGTTCGCCAAGCTGCCCGAGTCACCCCACCTGGGTCTCCTGAACTGCGACGACGAGCCCGTTCTCTGCAACGCCTTCTCCGCCAGCTCTGCCTCCATCTGGTCTATCGGCATGTTGCCCCCCGGAGCGCAGGTCGATATCTGGAGGAAGCGTCTCAACGTTACGACCACCACGTCTGACGACATCATTGACCTGTGGAAGAAGGGCAACAAGGAGGACTGGATTCTGACCGAGAACATCTTCCACCCCTTCAACAGCTGGGTCGCCCAGAACAACCTGTCTATCCCCGTCGGCTACTTCTTCTGGGCCTTCAACCTGATCCCCAACTGGCTCTTCATGCTCCTCGTCTCCTTCGGTAGCCGCACCCTTATGAACCGCCGCATGAACAACACCCTCGACGGCCGCCAGGCTGCCGCCGGTGGCGCCGCCCCTGCTGCCGGTGCTGCACGATAAATGATGCCACTTGGGGCTGGGGAGCGAGTGAGAGGATGGGTCTGGTAGGCATGACAGGCGATATAGACACCTGGGTGGCCAGGAAAGGGTTACGTCCCTTGGGACCAGGTAGTGCCAAATAGTAATTATAGTTGGATCAGCTTTTCCCTTTACATGCATCTTGCACGCTTTTGAGACCTTCGATGACGTCCTCCTTCAGCCGGGGATTGGAGAGTTTGCCGTAGCGGAGGTCGCTCATGGTGCCGACCGTTTGCTTAACGGATTCGAGTAGTGCGGCCTCTTGCGCCTCGAGCTGCTGAATCTCCGTCTCCAAATCTGCTATGGCGGTATCCATCTCCGGGATTATGGAGTTGAGAGTGTGCTTTGGGTCCGAGCCCACCGAGCCAAAAAGCTGCCTTTCGCGTCAGTAGCCCGTCCACCTCCTGCCACCGTAACCAATGCGACATACCGCTCTTTCGATCTCAAGTTCCTGGTCCGCATCCTCATTCTTTTCCTTGCGTCTGGCAATCGCGATGTCGCGTCTGATGTACTTTCCTCGCTTCTCCTCTACGGCGATGTTCTCCGAAACCGTGTCGACGAGCGCCCTCCTCTGGTGCTGGAGGTCGCGATAAAGCAGGCGAATCTGCGGGTTTGTCCGCTGCGCCTTTGGGAAAAGCTCTGTGAACTCCTCAAGGCTGATTACGGACGGGAGCTGGGCCGGTACCGTGAGGTAGTTGTGCAGGATGGCAGACTCGGTGGGCGCCATGGTGGAATGCTGGCCGTTGGGTTGGTGAGGGATGTGATGTAGTGAGTACAAATTGGATGACCACAGAAGGACTTGAAGATCGCCGGCGCGTATCGGGGTTCAACATGCTTGTACGCGACAGAAGGAAAGTGCTGAAGGCACCCCGCGTTAAGGGCACTTTAGGCTGCCCCACCGTGCTTGCCTGGTTTAGGCCACGGGCAGCAATAGAAACGGGTCGCTATCGCCCCCGTGGAGCTCCGGCGTCATCGCAGCCATGGAATGTCACTCTTGCATTTACAACAACTAGGACTGCCTTGCCTGCCACCACTGTGCTGCTATGAAGCCCCCTAGCTTTCACAACTACGGTTACAACTCGTCTTTTGGCTGCTCCGTTCCAAGACAAGGAAACACCAAAGGCCACTCATCGATAGTATCCTGTTTCGATCGTCCAATGTTCTCGCCCAAAGCATCTATGAGAGTACCATCGTCCAGATCGATCGCCCATACCATCGTCCTGCAGCTCAGTTAGCTCGAACCCAGTCCTCTTGTTCCCGCCTCAATGCAAGACTCACCCTCCTAAGCAACGCCGATTCGCAAAATCGACCTTCATCCCCAGAGTCTTGGCATCGTCCCAGCTGACCCATTGATCCGTGTCCCAGGTCACAATCATGACGGCCGCTTTCTCATCAAATGTGAGCGTCGCGCCGTTGTCGATGATTTTCACAATCTCGGCAGCGGAAAGGACACCAGGGGTTCCGGTGCATTCGCCTCCCTTGGCACCTTCTGTGAACTCACAGCCTGCCGACATGCAGTTGGGATCCTTCATTGTGAAACCTGACGGGCTCGTGTTAGCTACCTAGGACACCACGTCTTGAAATTTGAGAGGGCCGCTTACTTCTCCCGTAGAAACCCAAGCCAAGGTTGATGCGCTCCGGGTTGATGTTGTTTCTCCAGAACAGCTCAAGACCCAATTCGATCTCAGTCAAGTTGGTGTGGGCCAATGCATAAGGCCCTAGAGCCTATGTGAACGGTCAGTTGCGGATTTGAATCCAGCCGATTGATAGACTCACATCAATAGTCTTGTCCCATACGCCGTCTGAAAAAAGATGGAAACGTCAGCGAACGTCATGACCTTGGAAGATCAACTTACGGATGTCATATGTCATGATGTTGAACCAGCTCACATACTGCTCCATCTCTTGCAGATTGAAGCCTCTGAGATACCAGTAAGAGGCGGGCTGCACGCAAGGTTAGAGCTTTATTCTTGTTGGCCAGTTAATTCGTGAACTTACCACAGCCAGACTGATGCCGTACTTGCGCCCAGAGGCGTTGAGGCGTTGTCTCAACCTTCGAAGCAGGTTCACATAGTTGTCAAAATCTTCCGGAATGCCTCCGCGGTCGTCTGCCACGGGATACTCCCAGTCAAGGTCAACGCCGTCAAGGTCGTACTTCTTCATGAAGGTGAGGAGGGAATCAAAGAAGGCGTCTTGGTTGGCCTCTGAACCGGCCATGTCTGAGAATGCAGTTTGGTACGGGCCTGGGTCGTTCATGGCCCAGCCTCCGATTGCTAAGGATATGATTAGAATCGACTTGCTCGGTCATCTGCAGAGATGTCTGATTCTCACCGATCCAAACCTCTAGATCAGGTTGTTTGAGCTTTAGTGCCGCAACGTCTCCATACAGCGATGCAGTCCCGGCGTCCATGTCATCCAGCCGGAAGGTTTTTGGGTTGAGGAGGGCAAAAGCGAAGTTGATGTGCGTGTAAATACCTGTCTACGCATGAGCAAAGGAGATCCCCATGCAATGAAAACAAATGGGACTTACCCAACGGAATGTCTTTTGGTGCCATTCCTATTCATTGTCAGTCTCGCCCAACTCCCGATATACCATGAAGGATGAGAGTACTTACTGCCACAAGGTCTTGCCAAGTTCCATCCCTCGTAGTACCCAATCGTCCTGCCATCGGAAGACCTCGCACCAGCATCGCACTGAGGCTGAGGCGGGATGTTGCTACCGCAGAAGAGGGCCGTCGTGCCGCAGAATCCATATTTGCTGCAGCAGACATTCAACGGGCATTCAGCAAGTTCCGACCACTCCATTCCCCAGCCAGGATCGCACTCGCTCTTCTGATCGCATTGCGACGTACAGCCCTCCCCACAGTAATCAGGGCCGAGACCACAGACTCCTTTGCCAGTCTCCGCGTTGCTTTTATCAATGCCCAGGTCAGCGTCTTGCCGTCCATGTTGGTGATGAAGGGCCGCGATTTGTAGGTTTACTCACAGTGGGCCGCAGCATCCAACATCGCAACCCTCGCTTGCTGAACATTGGTACTTCTCATCGTCCTGGCATTGAACAACGCTCATTGACGAGAGGAGGAAGAGCCAAAAACAGCTCCATGATCTTGCGAACATGATGAAAAATCGATGTGTTTTTTCCAGCGACCAGGCCTGAAGGTTGGTTGTGATGAACCAGAAGCAGTTGTAAAATGCAATCCACGAGTTGAAGGAAGATTCTCAGCGCAAAAGACTCAGAACCCGAGAGGCAAACTCGTCAACGTAACTTTTCACTGGCCAGATCCCCCTAGGGAGCTTGGAAAGAAGCCTCGGGCGTCATATTGACTCGAGTTGACGATATCCTCGATAAGTTGCATAAGAATACTATTACCAAAGGTCCTTTCGCTGTGATGCCCAGAAATAGGAAGGATTCCGCTGTAACCTTGCGAGAATTGTCATCTGATGAAGTTGGTCCGGTTGACAGGGCTGATGAAGGCCAAGATTCAGCGTCACATCGTCTACCAACGAGATGAATAGGTACTGGTACAGACAGAAATACAGGTACACTAATGCTGAACCCCTTACAGTAGCATCGGTAGGCTTACATATCTTTCTTGGCTGCATTGATAAACAAGACCTCATGATTAACTTTGTTCCTCCCGATGCACGAAAACAATAGTCTCACCGGCGGTAACTCAAGGATTCAGAGCAACGCTTCGGAGATTCTTCAACGCTGCCAACGATGTGATCAATCTTTCAGAGGAACGCGAGCGTTATTACGATGGCCTCTTTTCGGAATTGCCTCCGTCTCGGCGTCAGCATTGCGCCGGCCCCTATGTAAATGATATCAACCTGTGATCAACATGGGGCCGGCCTGAGAGACATTGAGGTCACATCGACGAACGGGACTTCTGTGAAGGGCTGCCTGGTGGTAATTACCTACGTATTCGCGAGAGGCAAATCGACTTGTAATGCTTGAGACTGGGAGACTGGGTATTCTGCAGTGTCCCGTCCAAGATCTACTCGTTTCTGTCCCGTCTTCACGTCTTCACTTTCTTCCAAAGAAGCCAGAGCAGGTTGGACAAGTTGCTCAGTCGTCATGTATAGCCTACGCTCTTTGATCTTCGCCGCAGTGTTGGCCCACGGGGTCATCGCGGGCTCTCGTATGTGGGAGGCGCCTCTTCACTACCCCTCTGTGGACGCTCCTGTTGAAATCACCCTGAACCTTGAAGGCGTCAGCGTCACTCAAGTCGGCACCCAATCGTTCAACAGCACAGAGAAGCGATGGGTCACCATCAAAGACGGCGGCGCACAAGGAGAAAGTCGCTTGCTGAGCCATTTCAAATGGCCAGACAAGAAGATCCGCTTCCACTTCGAGACAGAAGAGGCCAAGCAGAAACTGGAAGTCTATCTTGATGCCGCCAAAGCTCTTTGGTCAGCGGCCGGTCTCCCTGATGAGTTCACCTACGAAGAAGTAACCAGCGAAGCGGACTATCAGGCGAAAAAGGGAAAGATTCTCCTGGTCAAGTACAATGACCGCAATTATCTCGGCACCTCCCTTGGCCTTCCAACCCAAGACGACGATGGCCCGAGTCCAGTGATGGATCTCTGTGATTCAGAAAAGATTGGTACTCTCAATATTGTGGCCAATTTTGCTCACGAGTTGGGTGTGAGTTCAAATGCCTCATGCTCGCGCCTGCGGCATCTCAAAATACCCATGAAGCTAATCATACATCACAGCACGCTTGGGGATTGCACCATGAACATCAGAACCCTCAGTTCTGGACCAGTCCCTACACGGCGACTAAAGGCGACCGGGTTCAATTCGGCTCAGGGTACGGCGAGTTTCACTGTGAGAGCCTGTCCGATTACGAGGCGACCAAGACCAGACTTATCGCACAATATGGAGAGGGCGAAGGCAACGCGAGATTGAGGCAGTCCTGCGAGAAACGTATACACGCTATCCAGAACGACTTCAGAGGCGCAATGGAGTGGCTGCCTCTCCACTCGTCGGAAGATTTCGTCGGTAGCGTCAAGGAATTTGACGAACGCTCCATCATGCTCTATCCATCTCGAGCAGGCGGCTCGGGGACGGCCAACGGGCAGGGCGCTGATGACGGACGCGCCGTGATTCTCACGCGCGCCGGTGGTAAGGAACTGGACTACAACACGGCGCCTTCTGAGCAAGACGTTCAGGGCATTAGGAAGCTTTATGGGGTGCCGAGGAAGACCTACAAGTCACTCTTTAGTGAGTTGAAGGATCCCAACAACAGCAGATTCACGGAAGAACGCCGGAAGGATGAAGGCACCGGCTGTAACACATAAAGGAGGTGTAGGATGGAATCGGGCACTCAGCAGTTTTTCATTTCGACAATATTACCGATAACACGTCCATTTCTAGTCTTTCAGAGTCTAAAAAAATATTTAATTCAATTCTCATACCGCGGTCTTTTTTCTTTCGTTCGTCTGCCTCTTTAAATTCACTTTGAAATAGCATTCAAATTTTGACTGTTATTCATACATGATGTGATGGATTCATCGACACAACGCAAAGCTACCATAAATATACGAAAGAGATGACATGATGATTGATAACCCACCGAAGCAGGGGGGCTAAAAGAATCAACTGCTTCAACACTCATCACTCAATTAAAATACATCTGTCCCGCTGCAACCGTTGGTCAATCCGCCGGCTGCCTTTTGAACTCCTTCATTCTTGAAGCAACGGCCAACCCAGACTACAGTCCGGAAGGACGACTCCCATTCCATGCCATCCTCATCTGGCTCGTCATAATACTTGAATTTCCACTGGGTCAGGCCTCCACCAACGCAACTCCTTGCGTTGCTAAGCAGAGTCTTTTGCCCCCAGTCCCAAGTGCTCCACCCAGCACCTGCGATTCTGTCAGCCACGAGTTTATCTTCATTTCATCACACTTGGAGAGAACGAAACTTGCCTTTCAGCTTGTACACGCTGCTGGCCTCGAAAGGATACCAGGTCCCAAAGCAGGAGCCATAGGGCTCCTTGATCAGCGGTGGGCGATTGTCGCGCTTGATGTTGATTTGGTATGTGAACAGCCCTTGCTGGTATTCGCCGCCATACTTCCAATTCAATGGGTTGCTATCAAAGTCAGCTCTGTATCTGTAGGGAAGAAAAAGACAGATTACTCACTGGTCTCCGCCGTCACAACCATGTATGATCCGCGCGAACGCTTCTTTGCAAAGAGCCTTGTCAAAGTTACCCGCACCTTCGGCGAGCTTGACAACGAATTCGTGTTCGTCAGGCGTCCCTTTGTCATAAGACTCCTTACCGGTCCACTCCCCAGACCCAGTCGAAGGACTGACTCCGTCGCAGAACTTGCCGTAGTGTTCGTCGAGGCGTTTCACCGAAGCATACCCCTTGCTACCTGTGCCAGACCAACAGGTGAACTTCTCCGACGGCGTGCAGGTATCGCTCTTAACCCCAAGAATCTCAGCACGCAAATCAACAATCTTCGCCATGGCAAAGGACGCGATGGTCCGGTGGCCTTCTTCGTTGGGGTGGAACAGCTTGCCCATGGAGTCAGGAGCACCGAGACCAAAGTAGTCCCAAAGCTTGTTGTAAGGGAAGGGGAGTGTATCGGGGTTATCGTCACCAGGACAACCAGGAGGCTCAGGAGCACGAGCATCAAGTTTGGAGCGCGCAATTGCTCGAGGATCAGGCGACTTGTACAGGACGCTCTCGTAGATGCTTCGTGTTTTCAAGGCCTCTACCTTGCGTCTGACTTCTTCTGACTGGAGGGCCTCTGCAGCTTCTGCCTCTCTGCGACGGAGCTCATCATGAAGATAAGGTTCGACGTGAGTATCAAGCTTGAAGAACTGCAGGTCCGGTTGTTTCTTGTCGGGATACTCTCCAGTGGAGCTAGGACTACAATATTGCCCGTCAACGCCATCTATGGCCGTTAGCAAAATACTTTACGCCGTATGGAAACTTGTCATCTTACTCCGTGGCCAAGGATCCCAGTTTGAGAACCCGATCTTGTAGCTGACGCTGTCTTTCACCTCTTCGATCGCCGTCTTGATCTTATCGTTTATGCCTCTGACCAGAGCGTTGAACTTCTTCCGGCGCTCTTTGGTGAGTTTAAGGCCGGTGAAGGGCCCCTTCTTGGGGATGTACCAGATCTCATCGTCCGTACACGCGTCCGTTTCTTCGTTGAAGTACTCGGCATAGCCATTATAGACTACAATTCCATCCTCAGCCATCTTGGCGTCAAGAGCCTCCAAGATCTGCTTGAGATTGTCTTTGAGAATGGTGTCAATATTTTCCTGGGCCTTTGCAATGACCTGGTTGCATTGGTCTTCCGAGTAGAAGGGGATCATGATGCACATCTTGATCATTTGTGCCTAAATCCAAGTTAGCATTCCTAAGCTTTCGTGATCGCGAAACAACTGACTCACAAGACAAAGATCGTTTCCTCCGGCAGTCATAATAACCAGGTCAATATCATTGTTGTGCAGGTTATTCGCCTGGTCGAAGATGTGCATGGACCGATCACCACTGCAGGCATGGTATTGAAACTTATCGATGCTGCTCCCGATCTTGTCGAGCACCATCATAGGATATGTGCCGTCGTAACGGGAGCAAACCCAGTCGTTGTGTCTGTGGACAAAGTCTCCAAGCTGCTCCCCTGCCCCAATTCCAGCGGTGAAGCTGTCTCCAATGGCAGCCATGTGGTTAACCCAGTTGAAATCAGTTGGGTCGTCATCTCGTCGAACAAGCTCGACTGAAGATGGAGCGAAAGGCGACGTCTCATTTTGACGACTGACTCTGCCGTGACAGAGCCCAACAAATGCAGACAGTAACAGCAATCCCTTCATGACATAAGATGCCATTGTCAACACCCGGTAAAGATTGTTGAAGTGAAGGACAAGACTGAAAACTAGGAGTTCGAGAACAACCGTGATTCAAAGAGAGAAAACCCAAACTTCTCAAGAATATTTCGATGCATACCGGGGGCTCCGAGTGTCACGATCTGCTCTTGGCCCTATCCCGTTCAACTTGATCCCGTCGACATCGCCATGTCATCCAAATTAACGCCGGCCTGCCTTCCACATGGCTCGCCCCCCCCCCCCCCCCCCCCCCCCCCCCCCACCCTTCAAAGACATCTTCCCTGCGATGTTACATCATGTCATTCGGGAGCACCCGCCAAGGCGCGAAGGATGTTAAGGTGGCATGCATATCTGGTCCGGTGCATGGCATGAAGGAATACTTGAGAACCCTTACTAGTCAGGGGCTCATGCAAGGTTGCCTCTCTCCCAAGTGATTGCCACCGGATCTATCGTATGTTCCGCTGTTGGCAATTGGAGGACAATGCCAAAGTCCCTCCGAAACAATTCTTGGCGAGGCGTGGTGATAAGTTTCAATGCAACTTGATGCTGACAGTACCGGTACTTGAACCTCAAAATCCGTCCCCCCATAACGAATCCTTGTTCATCCTTGCAATGTCTTAGTTGAAGAACCAACTGTGAATATTGCAGCCTTACGAGTTTCCTGATCCAAGATTCGCCTTGGCAGCAAGGCAAGATGCTACCATGATCTTGAACTATTGTTCAACGGCATGTTGATAACCGGTTCAAATGTCTTGAGGTCTTTTTCTTACTGGCTCTTGTGGCTGAAGGTCTCATTTCAAGCGGGCGCATGCTAATTAGGCTGCACACCACCAGGGGTGATGATGAGCGGCTGAAGTGACGAGTCTTACAGTTGTTCTCGTGAAAGTCTATGCATTTACCAGACGTAGGATTCTGTCCGAAGGTATCAATATCTAGTTCCCGGATAGGTGAAAGCTCAACAAGAGTTCCTTACTTGGGCGTGATCACGGACAGATGGCTCTCCAGCTTAGCCAACGACCGACACTACCGAAGGTTCTAAGGTGTCTGTGGACTCATCGAAGATCGACTTGTACGTTATTCTGCCCTTCCGAAGCGCAAGAGTGCTAAACGAGAATTCCAGAATACCTCAACTTCCCAACTTCAGAGACAACCCTGAGAACTTGTCCATGGGCGTTGCGATAATGCTATCACGAAGCCTTCTCGCCGTCTCTGTCGGAGTGCTGCTGGGAACAGTCGGTGCTCAAGACTCAACGCCGGGCGGCCCAACACATCCAAACATTGCGCCCAATTGCAACGCCTTTCACACCGTCGTAGACGGTGATGGCTGCTGGTCTATTCAGCAAAAGTACGGCATCAGCGCCGAGGACTTTCTAGCCTGGAACCCTGACGTCTCTGAGGACTGTCTGACGAACTTCTGGCTCGGAAATGCCTACTGTGTTGGCGTTGGCGCAGCGGTGACGACCTCATCGACAAGTTCGGTCGTGAGCACCAGCAGCGGGCCGATAACCCAGACCACGGCTGTCACGACGCCAAACGCGACGTACTCAACTCGAGTGCCCGTAACCGAGTGGAATATCACCGGCACAACCATCGGCACAACGTTCCCGCCGCAGAAGACCCAGGCTGGGCAGCACGCTGACTGCATTGACTGGCACTACGTGGGCGATGCCCATACCTGTGCCTACATCGTTGAGTCGTACGGAGGGCCGGAGCTCACGATGAGCAATTTGTATGTTACGCTCCCCCTTCCTTGAACTGCTTGACTGCTCTTACAATCGATTCTGCAGTCTATCGTGGAACCCGGCAATCGGTTCTGATTGTGGTGGTTTGATCTGGGACACATGGGTCTGTGTCAGTATCAAGCCACAGACATCTACCTTCTCATACAACTTTCCCACCGCAAACGGTTCGACAACACCCATTCCGGAGCCAACTGAATATACTCCTACATCTCTCCCGCCTGTTGAGACACTTACGCCTTCGCCAACTCAGCCTGGTCTGTCACCAAGCTGTCGGGCATTCTACAAGGCGCAGGCGGTACGTGTTCCCTCGATCCATCCTTTCTGATATTGCTTACACGAAACCCAACAGGATGACAACTGTCAAGTGATCCTTGGCTTTGGTGTTTCAACTGAAGAACAATTCTTCGAATGGAACCCGGCCCTCAATGGCAACTGCAACGGTCTCTGGCTCGACTACTTTTACTGCATAGCAGCATACGATCCATTGGACACCGACAACCTGCCGCCTCTGGCCACCGTCACCTCGCGGCCTTCCAATGTTGCCGGCGGCACCACAGGCCTGTGTACCATTTGGTATCAGGCATCCAAAGTCGATACCTGTGACAGTATTGTTGGACGATTCGGGCGCTTCTCACTCGCAGAGTTTCTAGAGTGGAATCTCGGCGTGGGAAGCGACTGTTCTGGCATCCAGGCTGGGTGGTCGTACTGTGTTGCCATTCCTGGCACGCCGACTGACCCCACGAGCGACCCTGATCAGCCGTCCATTCCGACGGGAACGCCTACTCAGACAGGCATCGCCACGGATTGTAGTGACTTCTGGCTTGTCTCTAGGTGAGCTCGTAACTCGTGTTGCTCGCTGAACTCGACGCGCTAACATCTTTGCAGTGACGATACTTGTGCCAGCATTGCCGACCACAACGGCATCACTGTCGAGCAGCTCTTGACCTGGAACCCTGCCCTCGGTACAACGTCATGCAGTGGCCTCAAGGCAGACGTCTACGTTTGTGTTGCCACTGGAGGATCTAGCGGGAGTGCCACTTTGACTGCACCGCCCATCACTGCTACGACATCTTCGGCGCCTCCAACAACCACGACGGAGGCTACGATTCAGACGCCGTCTCCAGTTCAGGTAAGAGTGGCCCTTCTTGCCTTTTTGAAACCCCGTATAGGATAGAATTGGCTGACTCTGTGTAATAGGAGGGCATGGTATCTGGTTGCCGCAGGTTTTACTTCACTCTAGACGGCGACGGCTGCTGGGCCATCGCGAACGCCGCTGGCATAGACCTCAAGTAAGCAACTGAATCCCTCCTGCCATCCAGTGCGCTGCTGACCTTGAAATTCCCTTAGTGACTTCTATGCCTGGAATCCGGCTGTTGGTACAGATTGCTTGAACCTCTGGAGAGACACTTGGTACTGCATCGGTATTAGCGGTCCAGCGACGACAATCTCTGGCGGACCACCCGTGCCAACTTGAGATGATAATGGTGTGCTCAAAGGAGTTCCTATTCATATGATTATAGCCAGTGTAGCCCGTAGATAATGAGATCTTCGTCCTTAACGTTCATGTCGTCTCTCCAATTTCGACCTGCGCCACTTCCAAAGCAGTAATTAGGTAGGATGGTTTCGGCCGACAAGTCCGTCTTTCCAAGCTGGAGCCAGTATCCGTTTATCCCTTTGTTTGGACCAGATAACTCACACCAATGCCGCTCTTTTTGCTTCTTGTAGAAGTGCTCGACCGTACGGCCATCCTCTTTCGCCTTGTCGCGGCTCTGCCAAAAAAGGGAGCTAGGGACGGCGACGGTGCACTCACGAACTGTCGGAGGCAGTTGCCGCAGCATACTTTTGACAGGCTTCATGAGCTCTTCCAAATGAGTATGGGCGATTTTCCAAGGAGAAAACGCCCTCGCCGTCGTGCTTGTCAAGGAAAGGTGGAGGGTCTGCAGGTTACGGAATGCGTCTGGCAGGTGGCCCATCAGGTCGTAGAAGGGCTCCTTCTGGCAGTAGAGAGGCAATGGATTAACAGAGGGCGTGTTGTCGGCAGGCAACATCCAACCGTAAGGGGAGAAGAAACACTGTATTTCAAACCGCGGAATGGCGGCCCAACGGTGCGGTAGGAAGAGCTGCTGTGCATGGCGGAGGATCACCATGTCTTGGATGCGGAACGTGTTGGTTCCAAACAGCACATCCAGGCCCTCGGCGTAACTGCAACACATGTTAAGGGAAGGCCTCCAGATGGGAACGGATCCACGGCTTACGCTTGACGACAACTGAGCAGCCAGCCCATGATGCCCAAAGAGCATTTTGAGGGAGCTTCACCGGGCCAATGTTCACAGACATGGTCGTTGCTCGCGCACGAATCATCACAAGGCTCACTAAAACGTGACCAGCTAGATGTACCCGAGGGGAATTTAGCATGGCAGACGCAGCTGTACCACTGCCATCGCTTCGTTTTGAGCTTGTACAAGGCAGGCGCGTCTGCTAGTTCTTTCCCGGTGGGCCGCGGTGCTCGACGAAAACGATGTTCCTTGTTTGGTGCATCCCGCTGCTCAATCCTAGGGCGGTCGTAGACGAGATCAATGTGGATGGTTTGCTCTCCAAACGCTTCAATGAGAATCTGCCGGCGGATCTCGAGGGGGATGCGCTCGAAGAGTCCAAAGTTGCCGCTTGGTTCACAGGAAGGAGGCGTAATCGGTCGCGACCGAGGGGTTGAGATTGCTGGGATTGCTGGAATTACTGGAAGGTCTGCTTCTGGAGCTGAGGGGGACGAATCTGGCTGTGGCTGCCTAGATGCCGACGAGCCAGGCCTGTGAAGTTTCCGAGCCAATTTAGCCAACATCGTGAGGAAAGAACCGTGCGACAGTTTGAGTCGCAGAACGAGAGCCGAGGAGCCTCGTAGCCGGGTGTTTCGCAGCCATAGGAGCGAACACCTGCATTTAAGTACTTTTGTCTAGCATCCGACTCCTCCTACCTCCAGAAAGCAACATGAGATGCAAGTCGAGCGAGGCAAGTGAGCGTGCATGGGTACCGTTCCTACCCAAGGTACCCCTGATCCTTCCTCATGTCTTAGCTGCATAGGATAGGTATATGCATTTAAGGCAGGTAGGCAGTCCATCAGGGAAGTGCCGGGCAACACGCGCTTGCTTCAGCGGGACGCGTTAATGAGCCCAGCGCGTTTCACTCCGTGCTCCGTGGCACCTTTTACCCTTCAAGTGCCTCTCTCCTGCCATCTTCATCCCATACAAGCACGAGACCACCTCAAGCCAAAACCCCAACAACAGCTCTTTTCGTGGATAATAATACTCCGCATACCTGGTTATCAACGGTGAGATCCCGCTTTCTTTCATGATCTTTTCTGAAATTAATAAATAACGGACCCAAGAGATAGGCATACCGTGCTAGCGACTCAGCAAGCACTGTCGTCCGGATCTGTCCAAGCTGCCGCGTCAAGTGAGCATCTCGTACTGTGCCAGTGGCCGAGGCCCCAGAAGACTGCCTGCAAGGTCGTCTAATCTCATCGTCGACTGTGCATCTTCGTCCTGCACACTGTCCGAGAATTTAACCTCATCGCCCCCTTGACCGAGCATTCAGTCAACCACGCACGCCATCAAGCTGCGGTTCGAACAAGGGTTTCTGGCCTAGCAAAACAGCTTTTCCATCAGCTTGACCTATACTCATCACCAAACACTGCAGTAGTGATGGCGCCCGCACGCCAACCGCCCCAGCCGTTCGCAAAGGACGAAAAGGTTCTCTGCTTCCACGGCGAGATGCTGTATGAGGCCAAAATTCTCGACATCCAGACCGCTGAATCTGGTGAAGGCTTCCAGTATCGCATCCATTACAAGGGATGGAAGAACACTTGGGACGACTGGGTTTCTATCGACCGCATTCGTAAATTCACTGAGGAGAATAAGGAGCTGGCCAGCCAGTTGCACGCCCAGATGAAGGATCTCCGCCAGAAGAGCAGTGCCAAGGCCCCAAAGAAGGGAGCTCGCGCCAACGGAACCGACTCAGCCCGCGGTAGTGAGGAGCGGACTGCGGGAGTTGCTGCCAGCGGTCGTGGCCCTCGACGGGCGAGAGATTTTGATCTGGAACAGGTGAGTTTGAAACGTCCTTTCCTTCAGTATTGTTCCTTTGTCTGCGGTCTTCGGGCCTCGATTTCTCCCGCCTGGGTCATTTCTGGGTGTCTGCAAGGTCTGGGCACGTCATGATGTTTCGTGAAACGACACGATAAAGAGGAAACGAATCGGGGGACAACAAGGGGTGAATAGCTTCAGGTCGGGTGGGGCCATCAAGGTCGGCGTGCAGACCCGGAGGGCATGCAGAACCACTCACCTTGGGCCTTTGTGCGAAGGCCTTGACCTTTCGAGGTGGCTGGGTCGCTTTTCGTCTGAAGGACAGCAAAAGCGGAAGGCGAAAGGGTCTTTACTTCCCTCGACGTTCTTGCCCCCGAGCAGTTTTCCTTCGACAAAATTCTTTTCGCCAACCACTTTTACAACCAAATTCTTTCTCCAATACCTTGGTCGCTGGGCTCGACAAATTTTCAACGCCAAAACATACAACCCGCTGGCTTCGGGTCTTCTTTTCTCAGTACTTCCTTTCTTCCATAATTTCGTCCACACCGAAATTCCCATCGCCAACATGAGTGTGTCTTGGGTATCGGCCGATTGCCAGCGTGGCTGGAGGCACGAACAGCAAAGAAATCCTCATACCCGTGAACCTTCACCAGAGGTTTTCGCTCGATTCTCGACTTACTACCGCGCCCCTGTCATGGCCGGCCAACAGCAGGTCGTGGAAGAGAATGAGATCGAGGGCGGAGAGAAGGATTACGACTATCGTCGGCCCGAATCATCTACAGACGAAGAGGAAGAGGACTACGTGTACAGGCGTCGGCAGTGGTTGGTAGGCGCCAGCAGCCCCTCTATTAGCGAGGACGATTGGGCCGGATACTCAGAGGACGGCGAAGCCGAGTCGAGCCAGCCCGCCGGCCTCAGAGACGGCGAAAATGACACCTCAAGCCACTTCGAAATTGACCCTCACGACCTTCTCAGAGAACTAGAGGGACGCAACTACAGAGTCGCTGACGAATACTCTGGCTACGACGGTGTCGACGAGAATGTTCTTCGCCTAGCCGCCGTCCAAGACGACTATTACGACGGAGACTGCGAGGATAACGAGTCTTGGTGGTACGATGATATGAACGATAACGAGGTTCTGGACGACAACGCATACCGCCACGACGAATTTCTCGAGCGTTGGGGAGCTGTTGACTGGCACCAAGAGCCAAGGCAACGCGAGGACGCGCCTATCTCACCCCGAACCAGAGCTGGTACTCCTGGCAGCCCTGCCAGTGTTGTCAATGACTGGAATGACCTCAGCGATTCCAGTGATTCCAGCGTTGAGTTCCTCTTTGAATGTCAAGCCTGGGATTCGTCAACAAACAGCAGTGGTAGCAGCATCGACACTCAGCTGTCTTCCTTCTCCGACACTTCAAAACGTGAGAGGTCGGAATCGCTAGAGGCCTTGCAAGATTCAGTCCAGGTAGACTCGCTACGTCGCGCAGTCATTCACCGCGAGAGCGACAAGCGAAAGCGGGAGGACAGCGTCGAATTTCTCTTCGAATTTGAACGCAACGTCAGACGGAAATTCAACAATTCGATCTAAATCCTTCACAAGCAATTTGCACAACAGGTACTGCGCGGCTGGTTCCGCACCGGCTTCGACGCTTTGGCAGGAACTACCCAAGAACGCACTTGCCCAAGCCACATCTCACATCTCCGAAGCCTCTATTCACCGCAAACCACACCTCACATCTCCGAAGCCTCAAAACAACACTGGTTGTCCTTCCTGGCCTTTCTCAACAACACAATCTGCCGCCTCGACTAAGTGCAATTTGCTCTTTTCAACTTCATTCGCCATCCATCTTTAATACCTTCTCAATCTCACACATCATGGCTACTGGCACCACGGGCAAAAGGCGAACGCGCAAACCTCGACCAGCGGATGCCACAAGGCGGCGAGCACGCGATTTCAAAAACACTAGCTGGAAGGAACCACGCCTGGCTGCGGACTACTTGTGCCAGCCGGCTCCTCGCACCAAGACATATGTCACCAAGGATGGAAGGACCAACTTCGACGGTCGCTATGCTCTCAAGCCCAAGCCCCGCAAGAGGGAACAGCCTGTCCGTCAGAAGCGAGGTGCCAACTCACCGTCGGACAAGCCAAAGGAAGAAGTCAGCCCAGAGCACTATGACCTTGCAACCCCACGGCTACCAGAAACTGTATGTTGGACTACAGGCAACTGGGAGAAATCGCACGGCCAGGAGCCCAGTGGCTGCGGCATCTTGTTTTCCTTTTTCATGTTGCGATTGCCAGACTACACCTGGTGAAAATACTAATAGGTCTACAGGAGGATAGTTTTCATGCTCGTCCATCCATCAAGTTGCCCATTCCTGATCACATCAAGGCGATGCTCGTGGACGACTGGGAGAACATCACCAAGAACAACCAGCTGGTTCCTCTTCCCCATCCTCATCCTGTCGATGAGATCCTGAACGACTACTTGGCTTTCGAGAAGCCCAACAGAGAGGACGGCTCAGCCAACATGGATATTCTCGAGGAAGTCCTCGCCGGTCTCCGCGAGTACTTTGAGAAGTCACTCAGCCGCATTCTTCTGTACCGGTAAGTCCTGCTGATAAGTGACAATTGACACGCCAAGCTAATATCACCACCCAAGCTTCGAGCGCCCCCAATACCACGAGATCCGCAAGGAATGGGAGAAGGCTGGTGAGAATGATAAGAACAAGTCTGTGTGCGACACCTATGGTTCCGAGCACTTGTGCCGCCTGATGGGTAAGTTTACCGAATTCCCCACCGAGTACCAGCACTAACAAGAAGCAGTTTCCTTACCTGAGCTGGTTGCCCAGACAAACATGGATTCTCAGTCCGTTGGCCGTCTTCGCGAGGAGCTCTCCAAGTTCACTGTCTGGCTTGGCAAGCACGCGAAGAACTACTTCGTCAGCGAGTACGAGACGCCCTCCCAGGAGTATATTGATAAGGCACGGGGTTTCTAGAGAAAGGATGTACCTGCCATCGATGTGCTCAACGGGCGTAAGCCTCACTGATAGCATTCGACTTGCCAACTTGTTACACGCCGTTCATATCATTTTGGGCCCTGCTCTCAATCTTCGAGGGGAAGTGTTTTTTTGAGAGTAGAAGAGGGGACATCATGAGAGGAGACTGCTAGTCTCAGGTTCGCTCAACAGATATGGAGGTTGAGAAAATACATAATTACTTTTCGCGGAGCTTTGTTTGCTCAGGGAACCTCTGCGATGGGAGAGGGAAATCGGTCATGGTTCTTAGCATAAGTCTTTTCAGTCACTTTTTTGGTGATTCCCCGCAAACGGTCAATCAGTCAGGTAGCCTTGGTCATTACTAGCAAACCCAGGCTCAATAGAACAGATGAATCAGAGAATCATGGAATTGAGTGAACTTTTGATTTATTGTGTTAAAGACTGCGCCGATTCTCGAGTCGCAGGTGTTGTACATGCCGTCATGTTTTGTACAGATCGTGATGCTAGTACACGACTGGACTTTCCAAAGTCCCATAACCAGAGATATCTGGCTACCTTCCTCCCTCGCAGTATCCCCGATGTTTGTCGCGTGTCGGATTCAATCCCCATCTCATCAGTCCTCTCCCTCCCCTCCGTTGGCGCCCATTCGTCCAATATCTCACCGCGCAACAGCCTTCTCGACGTAGAACCCGGGATCCGGCCTCCTCGCCTCCTTCATCTCGAACTTGCTCAGCGGGCGGTCGACCTCGTCGACCTTGACCAGCTCCTTGACCTTCATGATCATACCGGCGAACTCGGGCTTGACGGGGTGGAAGACGGTCTGCGAGCGGCGGTGGAGGCCGAGGGCCTCGAGGACGCCGCGGGTGTTCTTTGGCAGGCCGATGGCCGAGCGGTGCAGGGTGATGCGGAAGAAGGACATTGCGATCGCGCGACTTTGGTAGCTGTGTGTCGTGGGTGGGTAGATGGGTGAACGGTTTGCGCCTCGGTCGCTGGCGTCGTTGGTCGTGGGTTAGTGGTGTTTCTGTGACGGGGAGAGTTAGCTCGGCCAGGTCATAGAATTTGGTAGGAAGGAGAGCATACAGTTGACTACCTGCCGTGGCAGTTCCGTTCGTCCCGTCGTAAATGTCGTGAGGCTCAAGCACCCTGTCGCTGATGCTGGTCTGGAGGGATCCAAAAATCATCGAAGCTCCCGTTGGAATTTGGGTGGTCCGTGCATCGATCGAACGGAGTTTCCCGATGAGGTGGGTCCAGCTTTTTGCTCCCTCGGGGTGGGTGAAAATCGCAGTGAAATTATACATGAGCGTCGACCATGACGCTCAGTAACAGCCTCAAAAGCGTCCAAATCGGGTTACAGACGAATGCGCGCAGGCACGCTGGATGAGACTCAATTTTCTTCATCAGTAGTATTAGATACTTTCGCAGGAATTGACGATTCTCAATTGAACCTAGAATAATTCGTCACATTCTGGAATCACTTGGTACCTGAAATTAACACAATCCGTTCGCAAATTTCACGCAAATTTTGAGCGGAGATAAGTTGTGATGTCCGCTGCCAGCAATTATTCGACCCATCATGCTTCCTTCTACAGGTACTTCAGGAAGCATGAAAGTGGAAAACATATCTTTTTGTCCCCTGCAAACAGGCACAGTTGGAATGAGTTGCATGGCTTCAATTGTGACGTCCATATCCAAAAGATGCACTTCAAAGCCAGTAACCTCAGTGTCAAGTGGTGCTTATTCAAGTAAACGTCACTTTTCCTTAGCTTCGGAAAGTCCAGCAATACGGTACATATGCTTTCCAATATGCCAACACGGCTACGACGACTGACGCTATCACCCGTCCATACCTGTGTATGTTCGCCTCTAGCCACGCTTGTTTTTGGTATTAGCAGCCTGGCTAATACCAAAAACGCCTTTCCAGGAAGCCTAGCTCTAAAACTGGCCGAGACAAGTTGTATTGCGCACGCGACACTCACAATGAGCCAATGCTGTAACCGCGTGCTGGTCCAACAGAGGCCCCGCCGGAGCCAACTCCGACCGGGCATAACAACGGCCAGCGCGAATTTGAGTCACCAGATGAGGACCATTGGATGATGAAAACGGGCAAAACCATTAATGCAGTCCTTTAAGGACTACCAGCACTACACGTATATAGCTTGTCGTACAAGACGCCATTTAGCACACCATCATCCCTCGCATGACGTTAAAATCATTTACTCCATTTCTATAGCCACATCCTGTGGCGACCCATGATCCTCCCCCGCTAACCTTAAATCCCTTACATCTGAACCTCCACTCTGCCCTCGGCGCCTGGCGGGCCGGAGCCAAGCTGGGGGAGGATGTAGGTAATGTCATCCCACGGGTGACGGTACAGACCAGTGCGCAGTCTCTTCTGGTCGAGGTAGTGGGCAATAAGACCGATGGAACGGCCGAGGACGAACAGACCGTTAAGGACACCCATCTTGAGGTAGTCCTCGGCCTCTTCGGAGGAGAAGGCACCGCAGTTGCGCATGAGGTCGACGAAGCAGACAGCGATGCAGCCGTCAACGTTGAGAATGAGGTTGTCCTTCTTGGAGGTGGTGACGGTCTCGACAGCCAGGGCGTAGTCGAGGAGCTTGTGGCTGGGGAACTTGGCCAGGACGTACTCCTTGACCAGCTCGACACGGAGATCGGGGTTGTTGCGGGACTTGACACGGTGACCGATACCGGGGATGAGCTTGTTCGCCTTGCGCATGTTGTCGACGAACTCACGAGGGCTCAGGCCCTTGTCGAAAGCCTTGGTGAACTCCTCAGCGGCACCGTCAAGGGCACCACCGAAACGAGAACCAATGGTCAACAGACCAGCGACGAGCGAGGAGATGAGGTCCTTGCCGGCACGGGTGGTGATGATGGTGTTCATGGCACCGGACACGGCGGGACCGTGGTCGGCAGTGAGCATGAGAACCATCTCGAGGAACTTGGAGGCGTAGGGGGGAAGGCGGCGACGGAACCACAGGAGAGACATGACACCACCAATGCCGATCTCCTCCTTGAAGACGTCCGAAATGGGCATGCCAGCGTACAGGAGCTCCTGGCCACGGTCGTCGGAGATGGTGGAGATGAAGGCAGCGGGCTTACGGATGAGACCAAGCTCCTGGGCCCAGGAGTAGTCAATGGGGATCTTGGGAACGACGGGCTCAGGCTGGGGCTTGATGGTGCCGTTCTTGACGAGGGTGTCGTAGACACCCTTGAGGGTCTGGGGCATGTCCTCGAAGGTATCGGGGACGAAGAAGCCAGCCTCCTTCATCTTCTCGTTCTTGGTCTTGGCCGTCTCCAGGGTGGAGTTGGCGAAGGCACCGGCGTGGCCGAACTGAACCTCAGTCTTGAACATGCTGGCGCAAGTACCAATGGCCCAGGCAACAATGGGCTTGGTGATGATACCGTCCTCGACGGCCTTGATGACCTTGTACTCCTCAACACCACCAACCTCACCGAGCAGGACGAGGATCTTGCAGTCGGGGTCGGCCTGGTATCTGAGCAAGTGGTCGATGAAGGTGGTTCCGGGGTACCTGTCACCACCGATGGCAACACCCTCGTAGACACCGTCGGTGTTGTTGGCGATAATGTTGTTCAGCTCGTTGGACATACCACCAGACTTGGAGACGTAACCAACGGAACCCTTGCGGTAGAGCTTGGAGGCAACGATGTTGTCCATCATACCACCGGTGTTACCGATCTTGAAGCAACCGGGCTTGATGCCACCGACGGTGGCGGGGCCAATAATGGTGACACCCTTCTGCTGGGCCTTGTGGGCAATCTCACGGGCACGCTGGGAGATTTGTTAGTCTCGTACGAGCAATTGGCAGGGACAATGGCAGAAACTTACGCGCTCAGGAACACCCTCAGCAATGATGGCAATGGTCTTGATCTGAGGGTTCTCCATCAGCTCCATGGTGGAGCTGTAGACACTACGGGAGGAAGCGAAGTTGACAACGACGTCAACATCGGGGTGCTTGGCCATGGCCTTGTTGACCTCCTGGTAGACGGGCAGGAGAGTCTCGCTGGTTCCCCAGTACATCTTGCTGACGAACTGGCCGCCGAAGGTGTAGATGATACCGGCAACGGAGGGGGTCTTGCGCTTGCAGATGAAGTCGAAGTCCAGCATGCCCTGGACGGCGCGGGGCTGCAGACCGTAGACGAAGCATCTGGTCTTGTCGTTGAACAGAGCGTGTTCGGGGAGGGGGCTCAAAGGACGGCTGGGAGCGCTGAAGCGTGTGATGTTGTCGTTGGCAGACAGGCCGCTGGCTGCCTTGGCGCCATTGGCACCGTTAGCGGAGGGAGTGGCCGCAGGCATTGTGAGAGTCGAGCTTCGTCGGTGGGGGAAATCTCAACAATAGGAGGGGAAAGGGAAAAAAAAGTCTGGCGAGGGGTAACTTGGTCAGCAAGCTTGTCAAAGCAGACAATGGACGCCAGAAGCAACGAAGAAGATGTCTGCCCGCGAGAGGAAGTTGCTCCAAGTGAGGATTTCAAGGTGTAGGTGGAGGAGGAGGAAGTGTGGCAGAAAACAAACGAGTCGGAATTGTGGTGGGGAGTAGGTGAGATTTCAGGAGGGAGTCGGAGGACGACGTTCGCAGAAGCTGGAATCGTTGGATCTGCGAGGCTACTGCTCATCGGCAGCTGGGGACACCACCAGACAAATAGTGGACCTTTGAATTGGCGAAGCCCCAGCTCCTTGGGGGAGACGAGTAGTGCGACCGGGTGCGTATGTCGATCGAAGCGGGTGCGAAGGCGGCGGAGGTGGTGGCAGAAAGGCGGGCGGAAAGGCAGAATGACACGACAGGGGTGGTATGGTGGGATGGATTCTGGTGACGGTGTTACTGACCTGGCAATGAGCGATGTTGGTGATGGCGGCACAACAGCAAAGTCCAGCTTCTTTCTTTTGTCGAGCTGACGGAGGGTTCGAGAGGTTCGAGGACGTCGGGGGAGGAGAGCTGGCGAGAGGAAGGAGAAGAAGAGGGAAGAAAAGAGAGTCGGAGATGCGAAGGGAGGGGATGAAGACGGCGGTCGAGGGCGTAAGTAGTTGAGTCGACGACAGCAGGGTGTGTGGGATCTTTTTTTTCTTTCTTCTCCAGCGGGAATCGGCAGGGAGGGTACGGTGTGAGGCGTGAGCGCAAGAGGACGGGTACTTCACTGCGACGGACGTATGCGTGGTGTGCGGTTTGTGTGAGGTGATGGTGAGCAGGGATTGTTGACGGCGTCGTTCGGTGGTCGAGATGTATCTTTGGGCGGTATCTCTGGTCAGGGAGACAGGCCCAAGCCAAAAAGCAGGTACTTGAGACCAACGGAGCAGACCAGGCCACGCCGAAAAAAAGGTCCAATCCCAATCCAGTCCCAATGCTTGAGACGCGGGCAAGGTTATTTCCCCAAACAATGCCCAGCGGCGGCAGGAACAGGCGGGCAGATTGAGGGACGGATGACGGACCTGGCGTGTGAGGTGTGCAGTACTGTGCTGTGCTGTCGGGTGTTGCTGGTGCTGCGCTGCTGCTGGCACTGATGCTGAATTTGGCGCAGTGACCACAAAAAAGTCACTGGTGATGTGTGGAATGGGGGATGATGGGGAGGGGAATGGAGACTTCCGTCATGCGACGGCCGAAAGAGTTGGGGAAGTTCAGGCTGAATGGGGCGTTCTGATTGGCCGTGTTATTGTTGAAGTGTTGAATTCCAGCGGGCAGGGAAGGGAGGGAGCGATGGGACGGGCAGGGAAGCGGCAAGCAAACGACAAACGGTACCGGTTGGACCCTTGGTCCCCACTTCTTTTTTGGCGGACCCCAGGACGCTGGAACACTTTGCACAGGGTGAGGAGCTACCTTGGACCTGGACAATTGGAAATGTGAGCTGCCCTGCCTGCACTTGGCAGCCCTGCGAGCAATGCCCGGTACGCCCTGTGAAGATGGACTTTTCCATGCCACAGCTACGCAGCGCAGCTTCCGGGGCAATTCACAGGGCGGCCACGCATGTACCGATACCTGCCCCGTCCGCGGTGCCGCAGTGGTGTCCGCACCCCGTCTCACGGCGTACCTGCACAAGCCTAGCTTACGCCCATGCCTATCGTAGGTAGCTTATGCCCATGCCTAGCTGAGAGCGACACCTCAGAACCCTCACCGGGGACGGCGAGCCTGCAAGAGAAGAATACGGGAAAGAGAGAAATCGACCCCGGCCCAGCGCTACTGAGCTCCAAAACTCCAGAGCTCCAAAGCTTCTAAACGGAGCAAACCCGCCTACGTACCTCCATAGGTTGTGTGCATCGACGGACTAACCCCGAACGAACAAACGAGCGAGCTGCATCCACTAGGGCCCAGGTACCATACCACCAAGGTAGGACTGGCGTGGTCTGAGAAATTGAATGAGACTTGAAAGGAAGGAATAGCAGACTTGCATGCTTGCAAGGCAATAAGCAGGACTGAGAGGCATCGACAAGTCCAAACCGCCCGCCCGCCAGTCACCGCAATGTGGTGTGTCGGTGTTGTAGGTAGCCCTCCTCCCGTGGGTTCCCCGCCCCGACCAGTCCAAGTTGAGACCAACCGGCTGGCGCTTGACCGCAACAATGGCCGGGAGGCGCGTGCCAGTCAGTGCTACCCTGGCTGGTTTGTCTCGAAAAGCGTGCGGCATGGCGGCAGGGCGGCAGATTCAAGGTTTGGTTTGACCGCATCTCTTGTCTGCATCTGCTGCAGCGCGATGCTTCCCCTTCCTTTCGTGACCTTCGTCTCTCGACCAATACCCTCGGACTGGATTGTCAGGGAGGATCGACATTCGACAGCTTCGGGGCCTGCGTCGCCACGACGGTGACCAGGTAGGCCGGTGTCAGGGCCAGCCATCCCATCCAGCCAAGCCGAGTTGATGGGCAGGCAGGCCGATAGTCACTCAATCAATCTGAACACTTGTTCATGCTAGTCTTCGTACTTCTCCTCCAGGCTCCAAGAAAACACACTCGTCTTGTGAGGCGCTCAGCTGTATTAGTGGGGGCGAAGCGGTCACTAGAACAGCCTCCTTCCTGGTCCTTTTGCGACATGCGATTGGGGGTGGTATCCGTCAGCTAAGGTATTTTGTGTGTGTAAGAGAGTTGCAGAGGGTGCCCGAGTGCGCGTGTAAGTCCTGCATGTACGAATACATGACAAGAGCATTGGGCCACTCGCTGCCGCAGGAAACTAGTTAGGTAGAGAAAACTGGACGCATCTGCCCCTCTGCGCGAGAAAAAAAAATGCAAGCATGGGAGAGAAAAAAAAAACAACGAGAAAACCTGAAAATGCAGCGGAACATGGCGGCGATAATCGTAACTGCGAAGCACAACACTGCAAAACCACGGCCGAAACAGACGCGGACGGAGGCGAGGGCCACTTTCGCACTTGCTTAACAAGGACGAGGGCCCTCTACCTGACACTCGACGCTGGAGTTTTTTTTTTTTTTTTAGTTTTTTTAGTTTTTTCGAAGCCGCCGATGATCGAAGTTTTCGATTACAGCCCATGTCCACATCTTGCAGACCAGTAGCCCAAACGGGCATGATATCGATTCGCATCCATGTTTGTTCAAACCTCGCATGCCCCGAAACCCGGCGTGCCGCGTCCACCTCCGCCGGTTTTCGGTGCTCCCCATCATGACTCCGACCACCGGGCATTGCGCTCTGCACCCTCACTGAGGAAATGCACCGCACACATTTTCCATCGGATCGGTCCTACACACAGTCGGCCTGACTTGCGAGGGCTCCATCGTGGCTTGGGCACCTTGCTGGAGGATATGATTGGAATGCCCAACCATCAAGCATGCCCATGCCATGCCACGCCATGCCATTCATTGCCAGGCCTTGTAATGCCATGGCATGCCACACCATCTCTTTTTTTAGGGAGTCTGACTGTGCCACTGGTCGGTCCAAGGTCTCACTCGGAACTTGGATGACTGTACCTGTGCCACCTCACCGGTCCTCGTCCCCTTGGGAATTGTCCAGTGATTCCCATCGGATCCCGTTCCAACGCCATGGGCAGCAGACACACTGACTGGGAAAGGGACGGGACTTGACACAGCCGGGCCACCGTCGCCGTCCGTTGTGCCACAGCGAGGAGAAACGTCCGAAGTCCAACAGCTTATCGCGCGCAGCGCACGAGTCCAAACGAAACGGCGGTCCTCATCACTGGGATTCCATTGTGTCAACGGCCGGTGCAAGTGCGCGGTGCAGAGACAGGTTTCGGGAATAGGACGACGGAGGGCTTCGGATCTGAGATGAGAGAATCGTCTGGAACCGCAATAGCCATCATCTGCGAGATTACCGCGCTCCATCTTGTCTCCTCTTCCCGTCCCGTCGCTCGGTTGTGTGTGTCTGTCGTGGAGTGGTGCCCGGTGTGGTGTATCCAATTGTTGTTGTCCACAGTCCCTAGGTAGACTCGCACTCGCCGGGTCCCGTTCCGTTGCGTTGTCGTTGCGAAATTCGGCGGGCTTTTTGGCGTTGCATTCAAGGCCAGTGTGGTCCAACACTTGCTGCAAAAAAATACCGCCCTGGTTCCTGGTTCCCAGTCGTCACCTCTTCCAGGCAAGCAGGCCAGCCCACCTCAAATTCTCGCCCTCTCACAGAAGCCAGAAGTGAATCCAGTGAGTGACTTGGAAAGGTGCGAGGTCCACTTAAACCTCTCAACAACCAGTGCCTGTTGTCCCCCAGACAATTTTTTTTCCCTTGCTGGCTTTCCCCTTCCTTTCCTGTTCCATCCTCACGCGAGAACTGAGAGAGACCTTCGGCCAGGTGCAGGAATTGCCAGCTTCAGGTACAGGTACTTGCCCCCCCTTTCCTAGCCCTTGCCGCCGCCTCCTCCTTTTTTTCGTTTTTCTTTTTTTGGTGGTGTTTTTCTGTGTGCACCGCCTGTTCCGTTGCTTGCCCAGCTAGCCGCCCAGCTTTGGGCTACCGCTGTTGTTGCTTGGAGCTGCTGCTGCTGCGTGCAGTGAAAGTGCAGTCCGTTTCGGTGCTGTTGAAAGCTCACCCGGCCCAAGCTGCTGCTGGTGGTGCTGGTGCTGGTGCTGGTGCTGCCCCTCGTTGGTGCCGTCACTTTCACCGCCCGCCATTGCCCCCCTCCCAAAAATAAAAATTGCCCTGCCCAAAGTACCTGGGCCCGCCCCAAATTCCCCCTCAAGGTCCGAAAAAGAAGAGCTCCCTCCCCTCCTCCCCTCCTTCGGCCGGATTCCCACAGTGCCACACTCCGCCAGATACCCCACCCTGTGCGCATGCACGTACCACCTCGCACCTCACCCCAAAACTTTTTGGCGTGGTCCCCTAGCTTCCAAAAGGTGAATCCACCGTCCACCCGATTTCACACTCACACCCCCGGTCGGTACCTGGCGGCGCTGCGTGCCCCCAATCATGTACCTCATCCTTTCACCCCTCCTCCCACCCCTCCCCTCCCCTTCCCCTCCAACCCGTCGCCGGTCCTCTCCCAGCAACAAATAATCCCTGGGAGCTTCGTCGAGTCCAAATTTTTGTGTGAAAGGCTGACGATCTCTCCCTCCCGCAGCTCCCTCTTACCACTCGCTCCATCCCTCCCCATCCATACTTCTCCTTCAACGTCGCCGCTTCTCTTCTTCCTCTCACCGCCCGCCTCGACTCGACTCGACCCGTCTTGATCTGCTTCCTGACTCTCACTTGATCTCAGGACTTCTTCACCTTCCTTCCCCCAGACTTTGACATCGTCGTCGTCCGGTGCTCTAGCTCTCGCGCTCTCACGGTATGTTGCTGCCCTGCCCCCCTCCTCCCCGATCCCAAATCTCCCAATTGCAGTCCCAGTGCCGCCGGCGTGTCTCCATCCCACCCGGGCTCCAATTAGCCCCTCCAAGCTCAACTCGAGCGCTCGTTGAAGTGTTCCGCTTGCGGTGTCACTCGCCCACCCAGCAAGCAAAAAGGCCGCCTTCCCCCCCCAAGCTCCGTTCTGCCCAAAATCCTGCGGCTGCCGGCAGCATACTTCCCGACTCGACCTCTTCACAAATACAACCACGTTCCCGACGCAATTGCTGACGAGTCCGTTTCCAATCCAGGCCAGAATAAAGCAGGGAAAACACCAAAGAAACCTCACCTCATTCTCACCTCACAACCGCCAGAATGTCCGCCAAGTCCATCCTCGAGGCCGACGGCAAGGCCATCCTCAACTACCACCTCACCCGCGCCCCCGTCATCAAGCCCACTCCTCTCCCCAACCCCTCCAAGCACAACCCTCCCCCCAGGTTGTGCTCTCTGCACTTTGCTGAGGATGCCGACGTCGAGGGTGTTCTGAACCAGGCTGAGGTCACCTACCCTTGGCTCCTCCAGTCCGGCGCCAAGTTCGTCGCGAAGCCCGATCAATTGATCAAGCGCCGTGGCAAGAGCGGTCTCCTGGCCCTCAACAAGACCTGGCCCGAGGCCAAGGCCTGGATCGCTGAGCGCGCCGGCAAGGAGCAGAAGGTCGAGCACACCACCGGTGTTCTGCGCCAGTTCCTCGTCGAGCCCTTCGTTCCTCACCCCCAAGACACCGAGTACTACATCAACATCATGTCCGTCAGAGATGTAAGTTTGCCGTGATTTCCTGAGCTGTTTTGTTGGTTGGTTGCCAGTCGTGGTGGATGTTCGGCGGGTCGTCGTTTCTCCAACGTGGTAGGCGGGGCCCAGGGGGGGCAGTCCATCGGTGAGCTGTGAATAGCATCACGCACACACCCACAACTCAGCAAAGTCGACTTGTCGATTGCTGAAAGTGAGAGGCGAAAGGAGGAAACTTGGTTTGGCAACGTTGGAAGGAATTTGCATGCTTTATGGCAATTCCTGCCCATGGGTCAAATAAGTGGATTCTGGCCGCTGGACTGCCTTTTCCGGTAATTTCCCACCCGAACCGGACGAACGGATGCCACGAGAAAGGGCCTGTGACCCGTCCACCTCCGTCCACCCATGCCCGTTGCAGAAGGCCCGTATGCACGCGGCGGGCACAACGCCGCATTGCTTCAACACCATGATAGACGATGCTAATTAGTCATGATGTGATAGGGCGACTGGATTCTCTTCACCCACGAGGGTGGTGTTGATGTCGGTGATGTTGACGCCAAGGCTGAGAAGCTCTTGATCCCCGTTGACCTCTCACAATACCCTTCCAACGAGGAGATCGCCTCTACCCTGTTGAAGAAGGTCCCCCAGGGTGTCCACAACGTCCTGATCGACTTCATCAGCCGCCTGTACGCCGTCTACGTTGACTGCCAGTTCACCTACCTCGAGATCAACCCCCTCGTTGTCATCCCTAACGAGGATGCCACCTCCGCCTCCGTGCACTTCCTGGATCTTGCTGCCAAGCTCGACCAGACCGCCGACTTCGAGTGCGGTGTCAAGTGGGCCATTGCCCGCTCTCCCGCCGCTCTCGGCCTCACCAACGTTGCCTCTACCAACGGCGAGAAGGTCAACATCGACGCCGGCCCGCCGATGGAGTTCCCTGCTCCCTTCGGTCGTGAGCTGACCAAGGAGGAGGCTTACATTGCCGACCTTGACGCCAAGACCGGTGCCTCCCTTAAGCTTACTGTCCTGAACGGCAACGGCCGCATCTGGACCCTCGTTGCTGGTGGTGGTGCTTCCGTCGTCTACGCCGACGCCATCGCCTCTGCCGGTTTCGCCGACGAGCTCGCCAACTACGGTGAGTACTCTGGTGCTCCCACCGAGTCTCAGACCTACCACTACGCCCGCACCGTCCTCGACCTCATGCTCCGCGCACCTGTGTCGGACAAGGGCAAGGTTCTCTTCATCGGTGGTGGTATTGCCAACTTCACCAACGTCGCCAGCACATTCAAGGGTGTCATCAGGGCGCTCCGCGACTACTCCAAGCAGCTCAACGAGCACAACGTCCAGATCTGGGTCCGTCGTGCCGGCCCCAACTACCAGGAGGGTCTTAAGAACATGAAGGCCGCGACACAGGAGCTCGGCCTGAACGCCAAGATCTTCGGCCCCGAGATGCACGTCTCCGGTATCGTCCCTCTGGCTCTCGTCCCCGGCAAGTGGGAGGCGGCCGGAATCCAGGAGTTCCAGGGTTAAAGGAGTGATGAAGATATAAACGTGTGTTTGGCGGGCGGAAGAAAGAAGTTACCCAAAGGGTTAGATGAAAGGAAGGTTTGCCTGGTGCTCGAGACGGCATCTTGCCTACTTTCTTGTACGCTTGCAAGTTTACGGTGTTTATGACGGCTGGTGCACAATACCTTTTGACGGGGAAGTCGAAGGTCGGGTCCTTGTATCGTATGTATGGAGGGCATGGTCGACGATCAGATGAGCAAATAATTAGACGCTCTATAATGTGATGTTGACTTCGGTTACCAAACAATGATTGAATGCGATTGGTGTCTTTTGTTCCTTGATGTGAGGCCGCTCTTGAGGTGTGTATCATCCAGCTTCGTCTCTCGAGGTGCTGCTCGAGTGTTGGTTCAAGTTGACACGGCCCAAACCATCGTCAGTGAGCACGTCTTACTTTGCGTGTAACCGAGAAATTTTCCAGCTCCCAACTGCAAATATTGATAAAAGTGTCTTATATAACGCTCGCACCGTACCCTTCACACGCCCAAACATTCACTGCCCGCCCCGGGGACTCTCATGCCCGAAACCCACGCAAGCTGTGCTTAGGAGGTTTGGTAGGTACTCAACTGCCACTACTGGGTCGACAACCTTTAGGGGGTGATTGCTCACCTTGCAGTCTTGTAAGATGGGGATGAGACGGGTTCCCTTCCCCATGATATCGACCTGCTGTTTGCCCATTCCATGTACTTGCCTTGTGCGGAAGGCTGCACCACTCGAGCTATACCAGCAGTCACTTCTCGACAGCTGGATTGGGTGTCACGTTATGGATCCAGCAACAGTACCTGCTAACTTGAAATTTATTCAAAACCTTACTGGTGACCTTTCTGTCTCTATCGGTGCCCACGCTATCGCCTTCTACGGTCTCTGTGTCTCTGCCATTGTTGTTGTTTTTTACAACATCACTTTATCTTTAATTATATCGCGACCAGACCAACAGGATACGAGCTAGTTCTATCCCGTGGTTTTCAACAGTGCCTTACGTTTGCTCGTCATAAAACGTGCTTATCAGCATACAATCAGGGTCGTCTTTGATAAAATAAGACAACAGAGAGAGACCGTGAAATGGGAAGAGTTTAACTATTATCACTCGCCGAGTCTAGTACACAGATCCTACGCAAAGCTAACCAGCAACATACGTCTTTACGCCTATATACGATCACATGCTTCCTGTGCACGTATCAGTCAGCAAGAAAGCCTTGGAAGGCACGTTATGTATGTCGCCAGA